GATATGTTAAATAAGGGACAAATCAAGAGTCCAAAAGAACAAACATTAGAATACTATAAGATTATTAAGGAAGATGATAAATATGTATATTTCTAAAACATTATCTAAATCATTCTAATAAACAATATGAATTTATTAGAATTATTTAGTGGAACTGGAAGTGTAGGAACCATAGCAAAGTCACTCGGTTATAATGTCATCTTTTTAGACTTCAAAAATGCTGATATTAATTGTGATATTTTGACGAGTTTGGTGGATTAAGGAATTTGAGTTGGGGTTGGAGTTCAAACTTGAAATTTCTAGGTTCATCCAACGACAACACAGTAAAATTTATGAAATGTAAAATTTTGAAAATGATGAATTTTAAGGGGATAACCCATAGTTTATAAAATAGATAAAACACCAAAAATATATAGATATCTCCAGAAACTCTTGCCAATCGCCAAACGGGGCAACAAAAAATTGGCGAGAGTTTCCCCCTTATATAATATATAAATATAAGAAAAAACCCTCCCAGTCCCAGTCCATACCTAGTAGAGGAAAGTCTTGTAGATAAAGTCCATGATGAAGATACCTGCGGGCACAACGATGCGGGAACTACCAAAATGGGGGAAGGGTAAAAACGGGGTGGTTGGCAGTCCTCAACCTTACCTGCCTTCAACCTAACCTGTCTCAACCCTTGAACTGTCCAACGCAAAATCACACTCAAAAGCACATTTTCCACTGACCGCACATTACGACTGCACCAGTCCAATGGAAACCAATGCCTCACCCTGCTCTGACTGGCAGGGATATTGGAACCAAACATGACCCCTCCAAGGGGGTCGCATTGACCACTCCAAGTGGGTCGCATTGACCCCTCCATGTGGGTCGCATTGACCCCTCCAAGTGGGTCGCATTGACCCCTCCAAGTGGGTCGCATTGACCCCTCCAAGTGGGTCGCATTGACCCCTCCGAAATGGGCACTTGACCCCTCCAAATGGGTCGCTTGCTCCAAGAAGGCTCACATCAAAGCACAGTTCCTTCCTTCAGAAGGCTGTGGCTCAATCCGCTCACTGCGACTGGCAATCTCAATCTCCACATCTCGGTACAAAGTATTAATCCCAATCTTCGCTTCTCCTTCCTGCTCGGAGAACTCTGCATACTCATCAATGACAATGTCCGCCATGAACTTGATGAGCTCCGCCCGATACTTCTGCACACCATCCACCACATTCTGCAGTTCCTCAATGGTTTTGACAATCCTCTCATCACCTTGACCTTTCCTTCCACTGTCCGGCTTCATGATTTTGAGGGCGATGTGGAGCTTCATGAGGTCTGCATGGCGAAGACCAGCCTTGATGACCTTGGTGTTCTGGGACTTTGCAAAGGGGATGTCTTCCTTCATTTGGTCTTTGCCGTTGAGGTATTGCTGGATGACCTCAGGCAAAGCTCCCACCTCAAGGTTGGCGGTTGCCTTGCCAATGTTGCTCTTGGCACGGGCTTTCAGAGCCCTCACTGCTTCGGGCTTGGTGGTGTGTTTGAGGACAGACCAAGCACCTCCAGCTTTCATACTGACTTTCATGAACACCCTGCCACCGGTGCCGAAGTAGGTGAAGAGGTTGTAGTAGCTCTCCATCTTGGAACTTTCCACCTCAGTGCCCCAAGTCAGGATATACTGGTCTGGCTTCAGCGAGTTGTTGGTCTCAAGGTAGATGAAGACGTCGGAAGCGTGATTGAACTTTGAGTATTCAAAGGTGGCGATAAAGTTGCCGTTGACCGCTGGGATGACAACCTCAAGAGTGCCGACCACAGGAGCTTCGCCTGCCAAGCTCACCGTCTCAAACTTCGTGAAAATATCCTCCTCATTCGGAACCTCATGCTCCGTCTCAAGGTCTTCCAATACCTTCTGAAGTTTCCTGACCGACAAGATGCTTTCCAAAATCTTCATGCCTTGGCACGTTCCACGGCATGAAGCTTCTTCAAGGCATCAACCTTGCTTCGGACAAGCACGAGCACCTCCTTGGAGTTCTCACACTTGTTAATCTCCTCAATGGGAATGAAAGACAAGTCATCCGCCGAGACGATGCCGAGTTTCTCAAAATCAGAACCACAAACCTCCTCCACCGTTGCCGTATCGGACACAGCGTAACCATTGACATTGAAGCCTTCCGAAGCTTTCTTGGACTTGATAATCTGGAAAGTCACCTCGTGCAGAGGCTTGTCAATGAACCTCATCATCTCACTCTTGAAGGAGGCGGAAAGGCAGATTGAAGCCTGATGCTTCACAGTGTCCTCACCCGTTTGATCGTAGATGGTTACCGACAATGTGGTGCCAGCAGTAGTCATTGAATGGATGTGCCACAAAGGGATACAGCGAATGCTCTTGAACCAAAAGAATGCTAGTAAACCAAGCGGTGAATGAGTGCACACACTGCTCTCAAAGTTTACAGAACCCTGCCACACGCTTCCTAGCACAACGGGGCACGGTACGAAGATGAGGATGAAGAAGTCGTAGCGAGCGGCGCCGACGGTTCCCAGAAAAGGGTTACCATAAACCTTACAATAAAAACATTGTAAGATTTATGTTTGAAATTATGTGGATTTTATATTTTGGGATTTTGGAAAATTATATTTTGTGAATTTGGGATTTTGGAAAAATATATTTTGGGATTTTGGAATTTTGGAAAATTATATTTTGGGAATTTGGGATTTTGGAAAAGTATATTTTGGGAATTTGGGATTTAGGGACTTAGGTGATAAAACTGGTTGAGTTGACGTGCCCCTGTTGGGTAATATGGTTGAAGTGGTTGACTGAGGGGATTTTATCTGAACTGGGGCACGGCCTTTGGTAGGTGCCACCCCCCCCAAGGGCTGATATGTCAGGCAGGCCCAGTGAGCTCGAAGCCACCCTAGACTGAATGTTCTAGTTCCATTGGCTCAGGCGGTGGCAATACCAAATCAACAAACGCCACACATGATTCTGTGTGTCGTAATCCCGTGGCCATCTTTGATTCAAGAGACCCCACACAACTGTTCAAACATTGAAGCTGTTACCCGCTACGCGCTTCCCAAAAGATTGAAGATGAACAATGTGCTTTGCTCATTCTGAATCATCCCAGGGCCATCTTTGGTTCAAGAGCCCCACTGAAACAAACACCGATGCTTTTACCCACTACGCATTTCCCAAGAGAAGATGAACAATGCGCTTTGCTCGTTCTTAATCCCGGGGCCGCCTTTGAGTCAGGAGGCTCCACACACCTGTTCAAGCACTCTGCCACCCACGACTTCTACCCGCTACGCACTTCCGTAAAGGCTAATTGACCCACTATGCACTTCCCTATCAAGGTTAAGGATGAAAAATGCGCCTTGCTTATTCTTAACCCCGGGGCCATCTTTGATTCAAGAGACCCCACACAACTGTTCAAACATTGAAGCTGTTACCCGCTACGCGCTTCCCAAAAGATTGAAAATGAACAATGCGCTTTGTTCATTCTCAATCCCAGGGAAAGATTGTTTAAGAGCCCCACTGACACAACCACTGATGCGTTTACCCACTACGCACTTCCCAAGAAAAGATGAACAATGCGCTTTGCTCGTTCTTAATCCCGGGGCCGCCTTTGATTCAGGAGGCTCCACACACCTGTTCAAACACTCGGCCACCCACGACTTTTACCCACTACGCACTTCCGTGGGGGCTAATTGACCCACTACGCACTTCCCTAAAGGTTAAAGATGAAAAACGCGCCTTGCTCATTCTCAATCCCGGGGCCATCTTTGGTTTAAGAGACCCTGCGCACCTGTTCAAACACTGAATCTGTTGCCCGCTACGCACTCCCAACAGAATAAAGATGAACAATGCGCTTTGTTCACGCTCAGTCCCAGGGCCATCTTTGATTCAAGAGACCCAACACACCTGTTGAATCACTGAAACTTTCTCCACTACGCACTTCCCAAAAGGTGGAAGCCATGCGGAACGATCCTACGTCTGCCATCCCGCGGAACGCTTCAAGGCTCTCAAGATTCCGATTCACACAGTCTGCTGATGGTCTACATCCGCAGCAGATCTGCCACCAAGCAGCGAAACTTTGAGCGATCCAAGGAGCACCTCAAGAAGAAGCAATCCTGGACTCAGCAAGAGTACAAGGAATACAACAAGCAGTGCTGGGGCACTCCAAAGCAGTGGAAAGACTACGGCGACTTGACCTGGAATGATTATGGAGACTACGGCAGTCAATCCGACAGCAGCTATCGGTGGTACCGTTGACTACCTGATGAAGCTGCCACCTTTTGCATCCATCCGACCTCCTCTAGTCTGAGTGATCCGCCAAGGAAAGAAGTTTTTCTGAAGCTCGACTGAGAGAAAGCCGAAATCTGCACTACGAATTTCAACCGAATTGATCCTCACCGCCAACAAGACTATTGAGTGAGAGATCAATAGTTTCACATCCGTCCCGCATGTACATAGCGTTGTACATCATCTTTTAGGTACATCTAGGTATCTCACAGAATCAGTACAGACTGTTCTCCATTTTGCAAGTCAAGACATTTCATCCGCGCAGAAAACAGGATGAATCCAGTATCTCAATACACATGGCTACGGCATAAATCAAGGCTACGGCCAAAGGCCATGAAGCCAAAGATATTTCCTATCTAGTGCTGGAGATCAAAAGAAATTTGTGTCTGTTTTGTGTTTGGTTTGTTGAACACTTGATCTCCTGCAACATTTGGCTCAAGGCCCTTCTTGTTCAATTGTACAGTCATCAGACGCATGGTGCATTGATAAAAGGCTTGCAGACCGCTTTACAGGTATAACAGTCAATCCAAGCCACCAGGGACAATCCATCCTCCAATCCTCCATATTTGCATATTGGACTCTCTCGCGAATAGATGGGACAACGACCTCTACTACCACAGGGTACCACCAGTTCCCTTCTGGGATAGGCGCCCCGGCAGTGGGCCTCAGAGAGATCATCGGGTTTTCGTTTCTGCCAGAGAAGCTGCCGAGTCCACGGGCAGAGGACCACTCCTTTGGACTTTGCGATATCTTGGTCTTCCAGGTGTGACCTTATGTCGCTTGTGTGGGGGGCGCAGAGAGCAAGAGTCTCCAGCTCCTTTTCTCAAGGCCCACAAGTACCACTGTGTGGCTCCGGTGGTGGAAGGCTGCCGCAAAGCCCTGGTGCTGGAGCTCCTTGGCCGATCGCGCCTCCGCTTTCCATTTCGTCTTCAGTGCTTTCAGTACCTTTCAGTGCTTTCATTGCTTTCAGGTTCTGGGATGGCCCAGCAAGGCGATGCCGGCACAGGCCGCGGGAAAAAGACACGAATTCAGAGACGCTCAAACTACGAACTGCGATGGCAGGTGCACAAGCTTCGAACCAGATTGCCCTATGAGGAGCGAGACAGCGAAGTGTTCGTTGCGCGCGCGATACGTTGCCGCCTGACAGGCCCGGAGTCGCCACCAAGAAAGCTCTTGGAAGGCCGGCAGACGCATACACGGCATCGGAACATCGGATCGGACCGAAATCTGCTGGATTTCGGGTCTCGATTCAAGGTTGCTGCCCTTCCGCCTTGCGGCTAGCAGACGTCGCCTGGCAGAAGCCGTGGCACGCATGCTTGAAACGGCATTGTGCAGCGCCCACAAGGTGATCAGCGCAGCATGAGTCTCCTTTGGCAATGCAACGAGCCCACCCAGTGAAAATCGCTCCAGCTCGGCTCATCTGCGCACTTCATATCTCAGCAAAGTCGCATCTCATATCAACTCCGCAGGTGGAGGCGGACGAAAGCAGGCGGGTCCAGTCGAGCCCAGTCCTGTCCACATGGTTCGAACGCCCCCAAAGTTGCCACAGGCCTCGATCTTTGATCGGCGCTTCTCAATATCTTCTCATTTTTCATTTTTAGGCGAGTCCGCGGCATCGGCTTGGACGGCTCAGTGTCGGGCGCTCAACGCTGGCTTCAGGCTTCGGATTGGCTTCTTGTGCCGTGGGACATCTTTGGACAGGCTCGAGATGCCGCTTCTGGCGCTGAGAAACATCACCTTGTCCTCCGCCCGGCATGTGACCATCACTCCTCATGAGCCAGGCACGCCCGCGTCCGAGCCGAACAGTTAGGGTTCGCATGCAAGTTTGGAAGGTCAGAAAGAAACATTCGGAAGCCTTTTTGAAGAAGGCGAAAGCTATTCAGGACGCCTGGCGACTGGTGTTCAGGTGCTGGAGCTAACTCCCAGAAAGGGCGCCGCTCCTATCGTTTCCGCAACACAGGCGCGCTTACTGAATGTATGCGTTTCCTCTGGACTGTTCGGCCCTTTGGAAACTGCCAGGTGCCCGAATAGAGGGGCCCATCGCCACGTTTCCAGCTGCCGTCGATGTTGGCGTGGGCGACATCGGCTTGTTCCAGGCCGGCGCAGAAGAGATAGGTTGAGATGAGACGAGAGCGATAAGATAAATTGTTGAAATGCAGCAGCATTGCCTTGCATCACTTTGTCCGTCAACGACTTCAGCCATTTTGCAGTCAGAGTGGATGGCACTTCAGCGCTGCGCAAGTGAAACTTTGCTTTGCTCGCAGGGTTGACGCATCAGGTACTCAGGACGCAAAGTTGCTTCCATATCAGCACAAAGATGTGTATAGCTTTTTGATAGGCGCTGCTTTCCCAGCCCCAAGAGACCATCGGCGATTTCGATGGGCCGGTGGCACTTCTGGGACAGGCCACGCACGTGGGTACAGAATGGACACGAGGCAAGTTCCGCCAAGGATTTGATGACTCAGATGCCGCTGCGCTATAGTGCTCGGACCTCGGAGCAAACGGACGAGGCTGAGAGAGACATCATAAGTGACACCCGACACCAAGGCAGCGAGGGGTACCCTTTGGTTTCGTCACCAGTGAGGGACATCAACGGGTCCTATATCTTGCAAGTACCCAGCAGAAACTTGCTGGATGCCAACGCACTTCAAAGGCAGAAAATGCGGCTTCGCAACTTGAAGTAACTAAGGCACATTCACACGTTCGCAAGGTTTATAGCGCGTGACACATGTAGCGCACGCGCTCACCGCGGCGCTTGCTTGCCCAAATGCGGGGCTCGAGATGGCTGAGTTAGGACTGGGCTGGGGGAGCTTTATGCAGAAGGCAGAAGGCAGAAAGAAGGCAAGTGGCCAAGGGGCCAAGGGTCCAAGGGGCCAAGGGGCCAAGGGAAAGAAATAGAAAACTTGAGCCATAAGGCACACAGCTGAAAACCTGTGTAGAATTGACACGACAGGAAGCTCGAGAGCTGCACTTCAAACCTCGCTTTCGTCCTTTGGGCCGAATCGCGCCTTGGACGGCGAATGTTTTTATTTTCTGGGCCTGCGGCCTCTAGCCGGCTACGCCTCTTTGAAGTTATACCATGTCATGTCATGTCATGTTATGTTTTTGCATGAGAAGCGCATCCTGTGCTTTGATATGGCTGGGCTATGCATGTTGCCCACTGGAACCCCAGATGATGCTGTGGCTGCCACGGCCTTCGGGCTGTGGCTTTGGTGGCTGCCACAGCCTTGTACCTGCCACAGCCTTTGGGCCGTGGCTGCCACAGCCTTTGCGCTGTGGCTGCCACAGCCTTCGGGCTGTGGCTTGGTGGCTGCCACAGCCTTGTACCTGCCACAGCCTTTTTGGGCTGTGGCTTTGGTACAGTCTTCGGGCTGTACCTGCCACAGTCTTCGGGCTGTGGCTGCCACAGCCTTCAGGCTGTGGCTTTGGTACAGTCTTCGGTCTGCACCTGCCACAGCCTTCCCAGCATTTCCAGCAGCGATGATGACAATCATGACTACTCAAGCCGGGTCTATCGGGACACTTGAAATGTGAATAGAAGACACTTGACAAAGACAAGTCATGACAAGAATCATGAGGATGATGCTTGTGATCACCTTGATGATAACCACCACTACGCATCCCCAGCATCTCCAACAGGGATGATGACGTACCCAGCATCTCTAGCAAGGATGATGATAACCATCACTACGCATCCCCAACATTTCTAGCAGAGCTGATGACAATCATCACTACGCGTCCCCAGCATCTGCAGCAACAGTCATCATGACGATGATGATAATCATGACTACAAGGCGGGTCTATCGGGACACTTCAAGCGTGTATAGAAATCACTTGACGAAGACAAGTCATGAGGAGAACCACGAGGATGATGCTCGTGATGATAACCGTCGCTACGCATCCCCAGCATCTCCAGCACGGATGATGACACGCGCAGCGTCATTTCCAGCAGCCATGATGATAATTATGACTACGCGTCGCTTGCAGTCAAGCCGTCGGGTCTAACGGGACACTCGAAACCTTGTATAGAAGACACTTGACCAAGACAAGTCGTGACGAGAAGTGTGAGGATGATTCTCGTGATCGCCTTGATGGTAACCGTCACTACGCACCCCCAGCAGCTCCAGCACGGACATCTTTAGCAGTGATGATTAATCATCATCCCTTCCCCGGCATCTCTAGCGTCGCTTGCATGTCAAGCCGGTCGTGCATAGCGTCTGGCCCCGCTGGCAGGTGGCGGGCTATCCCTATTGCGAAAGAGCCGCCTGTAGCGGCAAGCTTGTAAGGTGGCGGCAGGGCGCGCTGGCAGGGCGTGACGCCCAAGGCTGCAGTGCACTGGCGCATAGTCCTGTAGCAACCTCTCGCTACTATGCTTACACACGTGCATGGCGGCGCAAGAAATGTTGGACCTTGTTTACTGTGGGCCCCCCCCTCAAACAGTCAAAACAGTCCTGCGGATCCTGAATAAGGATTTGGCGGGGGGCTTGGGTGACTTGAGTAATTGCCAGCGCTTCCTTTTCATATGGGCAACTGATTTCTCCTCTCAGCTTCCTGGCTCAGTCCCAGTAGTGAAACTCTGGAAGCCTTTGGTTGCTCAACCTGAGACGCTGCGGGCCTCAAAATCTAAAAGCTTAGCAAGGCACCAGGACAAAACTTGAGCCTAATAATTCCTGATTATCAAATTCTTTACTTAAATCCATCCAAAAACAGGCCCCAAACAGTCCTGCAAAGGGGGTTGCGTACAAGGGGGCCTGATCCTCTTTAAGGGGCACTGTTTGGGTGCCACGTTTCATGTCCAGTCTTAGGCGTGGCGGCAATACTAAACCAAGTAGTGGCAATCTGCAAATGTTGAGTCAGATTTGTTTCAACGTGATTTTTTGGGGTTCGAACTTGACATAAATTATGGTACCGAAACAGGGGGGTCGTGTTTAAGCCTTGACATAATGCAGACTACCGATATTAAACCAGGTGCAACATTAATCTAATTACGAGCTTGCCGCGACAGGCGGCTCTTAGGCAATAGGGATAGGCTCTTGAATAATAGGCATCAGTGTGCCTTAATAATAAGCATCAGTGTGCCGCAGCCTTGTGCGTCAGGCCCAGCGGGGCCCGCCGCCGCCTGCCAGCTTATCAATGTCAAGGATAATTGCATTTGACATAATGGCTGGCTCAACATGCTGGGCGTGTCATCATCCGTGCTGGAGATGCTGGGGATGCGTAGCGACGGTTATCATCAAGGCGATCACAAGCATCATCCTCATGATTCTCGTCATGAATTGTCTTTGTCATGTGTTGCACACATTTCAAGTCTCCCGTTACTCGAGCAGCGATGGTGACAATCATCACTACGCATCCCCAGCATCTCCAGCAACAATGATCATGACGAACCCCCGGCATCTCAGCGATGATGATGATCGTGACGCATCGCTTGCATGTCACGCCGGGTCTGACGGGACACTTGAAATGTGAAAAGAAGTCAAGCCGGGTCAAACGAGACGCTTGAGGTGTGTGTAGAAAACACTTCACAAAGACAAGTCATGACGAAACTTGTGAGGATGATTCTCGTGATCGCCTTGATGATAACCATCGCAACGCATCCCCAGCCCAGCATCTCTAGCAGTGATGATTAACATCAGCACTGCGCATCCCCAGCGTCTCTCGCATCGGTGACTCATGATCACCTTGATGATACTCGTCACTACGCATCCCCAGCATCTCCAGCACGAATGCTGCGCATCCCCAGCATGTCTAGCCGCGGTGAGGATGATGCTCGCGATCGCTTTGATGAGAACCGTCACTACGCATCCCAAGCATCTCCAGCACGGATGATGACACGCCCAGCATTTCTAGCAGTCTCCGCATTCCGGCATCTCCAGCAACGATGACGCATCGCTTGCGTGTCAAGCCGGGTCTAACGGGACACTTGAAACGTGTGTAGAAAACACGTGGCACTCACAATTGAGCAAGTCATGACGAGAATCATGAGGATAATGCTCGTCATCGCCTTGATGATAGCCGTCGCAACGCATCCCCAGCATCTCCAGCACGGAGGATGACACGCCCAGCATCTCTAGCAGTGATGAGTATCACCATCGCTGCGCATCCCCAGCTCCAGCAGTGAGGATGATGCTTGTGATCGCCTTGATGACAGCATCGCCAGCACGGGCGATGACTTTAGCAGCGATGATGAACGATGATAATCATCACTACGCATCCCCGGCATCTCAAGCAGCGATGATGATAATCACGGCTACGCATCGCTTGCGTGTCAAGCCGGGTCTATCGGGACACTTGAAACGTGTATAGAAAACACTTGACCAAGACAAGTCATGACGAGAATCATGAGGATGATGCTTGTGGTCGCCTTGATGAAACCGTCACTATGCATCCAGCACGGATGATGACACGCCCAGCATCTCTAGCAGTGCTGATGATCATCAGCGCTGCGCATCCCCAGCATCTGTAGCAGCGACGAGGACAATCCTCGCTGCGCATCCCCAGCATCTCCAGCAACGATGATCATGCTGATTATAATCCTCACTACGCGTTTCCGGCGTCTCCAGCAACGATGATGATAATCATGACTACGCATCGCTTGCGTGTCAAGCCGGGTCTAGCGGGACAATTGAAATGTGTATAGAAAACACTTGAAAAAGACAAGTCATGACGAAGATCATGAGGATGGGTGAAAAGCAGCGCAACGCATCCCCACCATCCCTAGCAGCAAGATGATAACCATCACTGCGCATCCCCGGCATCTCCAGCAGCGATGATCATGATGATGGCAATCATCACTACGCATCCCCAGCATCTCCAGCGGCGGATGTAGTCAAGCCTAGTCTAACGGGACACTTGAAATGTCATGACGAGGATCATGAGAATGACGCTTGTGATCGCCTTGATGATAACCATCACTACACATCCCTAGCATCCGCGGGAGAGATGATGCTCATAACGACGATCATGAGCAAACTGCTCGTGAAGCAAGGATGATGTTCAGATTCATCACTACGCATCCCCAGCATCACCCGCAAGCAATTATGCATGATACTCCCAGCATCTCTAGCAGCGATTATACTAATTATCACTTTGCATCCCCAGCATCTCAGGAGTAAACTGCTCGTGATCGCCTTGATGATGATAACCATCACTGCGCGTCCCCAACATCTCAGGCAGGGATCATGATCATAATCATCACTACGCACCCCCTCCCCCAAGCAAGCACGGATGATATTCCTAGCATCTCTAGCAGTGATGATGCTAATTCTCACTCGCATCCCCAGCATCTCTGGCAAGGATGCGATCGCCCTTCCCGTGCGCCTCACCCTTTGAGGAGTAGGAAGATAGTTACCATTCCTCATCAGGCATCGTTGCGATGCTTGGCGCCGTTGGGATGCTGGGGTGCTATCATGATGGCTAGCATCGATCATCATCGCCGTGCCATGATAATCCCCGGCGTCTCAAGCAGTGTCTAACGTCCCTTTTGAAATGCATAGTTAGAAAAGACAGAGATGTTGATGATTGATGTTGATGATGATCATGATGATGATGGTGATGGTGATGATGATGCCCTATGCTGGGAGGATACGGGACTCGGATTCGCGCGCGAATCACATTCTCTTCCAGCTTCTCTGGATCACAGCGCTATCTATTTGGGCATGACGGGCTTCACCCTCCAAACTTGTTCTTTTTGACCCTCCCTTTCTTTTTGCTTTAACCCTCAAGCCCTGCACGGGAACCGTCTGCAGGAACCCTGAACAGTTCTTTTCAACCCCTCGCCTTGCTTTTTCACCCTTCACCTTGTGTTTTTCACCACCGACCTGTTTTTTCCCCGCGAGCTAGCCAACCCTCAAACCAATCCTAAACCTGCTCTAAGCCCACCCTACACTAATTCCAAGCCCGCCCTTAATCCAACAGTACTCCCACCCCGCACCTTAAGCTGAGTCGATTGGTTCTCAAAGGGCAAGCCAGCGCTTGTGGCGTTTTTGGGCCTTTTGCGGCTTGAAGTCTTCTGACTGCACACTTGCTTTCCAGTCGAGATTTCCGGTCCGGGGTGACTGAAGAGGATTCGAGCAGAGCCGCCGAATGAGACAAACTTTTGGTCCCGTTTCCAAAGTGAACAGCTTGCCTGATTGCCAGGGCGCCTTTCCATTTGGCACAAAAGGTTGAAAGCTCCACTTGTTCTTAGGGCGGCGCTTTGAACGTAAAAAGTTGCATTTTCCAGAAGGTCGACCCGTCGAGGGGATGGCCGCGGCGTTGGAAAAAGTTGCGCTGCCCACGAGTTTTGAAGGTTCCGTCCGATCCAGCCGGGTAGTTCTCTTTGCAAATTGTCGCAGCTAACTTTCTGAGAAAGCTTCTGCGGGTACAATTGCAAACTTTTGCGCAAGTGTTCTAAGCAAGTGTCTCCAAGCAAGTTGCTCCACGCAAGTCGCTTTGTAATCTTCTGTGTGCAAGTTCTCTACGCAGCTTCTGAGCAAGCTTCTTTGCGTCGGCTCTTCGAGCAAGTTGCTTTGATCAATTTACTGTCGGACTGAGTCAACACCAGAATTGCGACTCGGACCGCGCCAGCGTCACCGCCCGGACAGGCGGTCAGCGCTGCGAGGACTGGCAGCTCGGGGCGCAGTGCGGCACAGCGCGATCCACAGCGTCTTCTTTGCTCGCTCACTCGCACAAGGCGGTCAGGATGGAGTTGTTTTGATGGCGCCAAAATCTTCATCCCTACACGTAGCGAAATCCCTCGGAATGCCAAACTGATGCGGAACATGTGAAACCTATACTTGGTAGAAGTAGAGACGGAGACGTCGCAGTCAACGTTCCAAGCGTCGCCGCTTGTCTCACATCTAGACACTCAAAGTCAGTCAGGCCTTTTTCAGGCGGTCAACGTTCCTGGCGTCTGAAGCGCTTCGTCAACCTGCCAAGAGTCCAAATCGCTTTCGCTCCCCTCGTGCTGCTTCACGCACGTGCCTTGCTGAGGGGAAGAGCGCTGTAGCTGCAGAAATGGCTGCGCCAAGTGGCTTGCCTACATTACGCCAGCTGTGACACGTGAGACGTTGGGGCCTGAGGTGTCATGCCTGGATTTTTCCCTGCAACTCGGTTGCAAATTCTTGGTTTTGGAACCCATGCGGCGCATCCACGCAATCGCGAGGCAACATCGGTGTATGCTGCCCTTGCCTTCCAAGCAGCTGGAGGAATGCCAAGGAGAGCACAGGGAAGGAGGGCTGGAAGGAAAGGTGGACCAAGGCAGATAACATCGCAACGTCTCGTTTTTGTTTGAGAAACGCAAGCAGTGTTGGGCTCTCAGGATTGGCTTCACTTGGTTTTGATGCTTGGCGAAACAACCAAAGCTAGTCTCCTTGCGCGCAGCCACTGAGTCTAAGGATCTTTGGTGTCCTGTCCTCTGTGGTTTTCATCATATTGCAGGCCGGGTTTCTCTTGCCGGACAGAGAAGAGGTTCAAGCGACGGAAATCGTCACACCCTTGGACTTGACAGATAGTGGAGATCGCCTTCCAGGACCAGTGCCAGACTCCTCTTTGCGTGGGGCAGACATTTGGCCGCGAGCGATGCTGTAACACATTATTGTCTCTGCTTGCCGCACGCCGAAGGGCGAGTTACGGAACCCACATGCTCCAAGCCGTGTCGCCAGTCAAGGCAAGTTCAAGTAAGCTTTGAAGGTATGGCTTGTAAGCCTTGTAAGCCTGGCTGGGAAATTTGAAATCGGAGTTTGCTTTGGGTGTGGGTGGACAGTCTTTTCAGTCTGTCCAAGGATGGTCTCTGCCTTGGTGATCCTTCCGAGTCTGTACGACTTCTTCAAGTTCATCGGAACATACGACGAGTCCTTGCAGGACATGTCAGTACAAGCAGGGGGCGAGTCGGCCGGGTTGGCTTCGGCTTGCAGGAGCACAAGCAGAGGGCGGAAGACGAAGTCCACGGACTGATCGAAAGTATCAATCAGCAGGCCAGTGCGGAGTGCCAAGTGCGCAAGTGCCATGCAAGGTTCTGCTGGGGGAATTCATCGGGAATATTGAGAGTCAACCGTAGCGAGGGTTCCGGTTGTGAAAGGGGTCAGCAGTCAATGCCGCGCCGTTCAAAGGGCTCAATGTCGTTTCGTTGCGCTAGCGCGTTAATCGTAGGTTTTGAGACGTCGGTTGTCATTTTGCTGCGCAAGAACATGTTCGCATTGCCGTGCCATTGTGGTTTGCGTTTCAGGGGTGGTTGTTTTGAGGTGTTTTGCCTCGCAGGCACATGCAAGCGTTTGCGCGCGTGTCATTCTTGTTGGCTGGCGAGAAACGCGACGGCGAGGCGCCTGCATTGAGATGCAAGGAGAGACGCTACTCAGACACCAAGCGGCATGACGACACGCGTAAAGACCAGGAGAGACGTGCGCGATGCGAGAGAAGAAGCATGACCAGATTTGCGACTAGAGTTGTGACGAGTGACGAAAGACATGACAGGAGATGAACTGAGATATGTGGCGAGAGACATGATGGGAGACCCTGGCGACAACAGGCGTGACGAGAAACCTAGAATGCCGTGTCCAGACGTGCTGTGGACGCGATCCAAGACGTGAGAAGAAAGATGATCAGATGCGTGATGAGTTTTGCAACGTAAGACGTGACCGTGCCGAGTTGCGTGACAAGAGTGAGACGCGAAACGTGCAACAAGAGACGTGACTCGAGACGCAAAGTGAGATGACGCGCCGCGAGCGACGTCGCCAGAGACATGATTTGGGACATGTCCGAGAGACCCGGCGCAGGCGAAACGCAAAACTGGACGAGAATGAATTGCGTTCGGGTTTGTGGGTTCTCTAGGTTTTCAGAAGATACTCATACTGGAAAGCTTCTTGCGTGCAACGTGCTGCTCAGCTTCCTTGAAAGAAGCCCGGGTGGCCAGGTGGCCGAAATGCAGGAGGTCGCTGCCAAATTGACGGTGCGACTTGGCTCCTGTTTCTTTGTTTTTGGTTGCAGCGGTGAGGGGCTCTTTGTGGCTCCTTGTACAATTTGCAGGAGAGCGTCACAGACTTTGCTTTCCGTTCCTTTGACACTAGCCGGGAAGGCGGGGGAAGGTGGACCGTGGACCAAGATGAGTCTCTGAGGCGCGGTTTTCGCGCCAGGTTTCGAAAAATTCATCCTGGATTTGAAACTCTACTACAGCGAGCTCTATGTTCAAAAAGAGATGCTGCAGGAGACGAGTGCAGACACGGGGCGTCAGCGCAGAAGGGACGCCTTGCTGCCTTCTTGTCGCACTGGTGTTATTTTCTTCTGCTTCAGGAGCTGCGGTGCTTCATGCTGAAGTGGCTTGCCGTGTTCTCCCAGTCCCTGCTGGATGCGGAGACAAATCCATTGCTTCAGGCAGCTTTGATCCTTCCCCATTTCGCTTTGCTCGACTCAAGCTCTAAACGATGCAACTGAACAGCATCCCAGGTTGTTTGTCTGTGGATTGTGCCTCATGTTAGAACCTGTTCTGACCCTGAAAAGCGCGCTTCCTGATGAGGGCTCTAACACACAAATTTAGTCATTTCGCTGACAGCCGGCAAGGAATTATGTTTCTCGCCGAGATTTCTTTCTTCCAAACCCACATACTCGCTTGCATGCACATTGGCAATGGCCTCCATCAACAAAGGCGACTTTTCACTTCAATCGTGGTTTTCTCCCTAGCAGCTATGACACCCGGCTTGCAGTCCCATGCGGAGTCAACAACGCAGCGTCGCCGCCGAATGTTGGTATTGCCAGCACGGCCAGCATTGATGCTGGGGGCCTACACTTTCCTTGAATCTCGAGACAACTACCTTGTCAGCATATGCGTGGTGTTGCCGGGCATGCTTCTCATGTTGTGCGTTGAATGGCTGCAACGGACATGCTCGCCGTGTTGTGTGTTGAATCGCTGAAACAGGTGCGCTTGCCATGTTGCATGTGGAATCGTTGGAACAGGCGTGCCTATCATATTGCGTGGAGCCGCTGGAGCTGCCATGGTTACGATGCTTCGCGTAGAATCACTCTAACGAGGATGTCTATCACGCTTGGCGTGGAGTCGCTGAAGCGGTCAAACGGCGCGTGTGGACGAAATGGACCGGGTGTGGCGCGTGGAGTCTTTGGAGCGGGCACGCTTATCATGCTGCGCGTGGAGTCACTGGAGCAAGTAGAGAGAAAATGTTGCGGGAGACGCCGTGCTTTGTATGATGTGTGTGGAGAAGCTTTTGTCATGTAGTGTGCGAGGTTACAGGACTGTTGGTGCGCGAGGTACTGACAGCATGTGCAGAAGGTAAAGCCCGAATGTTGTTTCTAATCTTCCTAGAAATTTGAGAGAGACAGCGATGAGGGCTTGGAGGAGGAGCTCAAGAGATGCAGCACGCCTGGGCCGAAGATGGGACATTTGGGGCTGCCGTGACGCCTCCTTCTCGTGCAGGCTTGATGAGCTGTGTGAAAAGGCGATGGCTGCGTCTCGCTTGAGATAAAACATCGCGCCTGGCCGCACAGGTGACAGGGCGCTTGAGCAGGCTCAAGGCGCTTGTGACGCAAGCTTAAAAGCTTGCCGGGTGCTTTTGATTGCTCAGGTTTCAACACGCATGGTCATGGCCCCTGCAGAGTCCTACGCGCGCTTCCCAGCGAATTCCACACCACGAGCTGACCAGTTTTGGGCCGAGGTGCTGCCAAATCGAGCCATTGAGGACAGCATCAGGTGGCAATGTTGCCTCGATTGCCTCGACTCAAGCAGAAGCACATGTGGAATTTGTGTCTCGAGGATGTGGAGACTGCATCAGTAGCTTCTTGGTCCCAGACCTCGCAGGCTTCCCAGACCTCCCAGGCCGCTTTGGACAGACATTCTCCCGGGAGGTTTTTTTTGCGTCCCCCGTTTTTTGTCTTCTCGGCTTCTTGGCTTTTCGGCGGCTTTTGGTGGCTTTGGCTTTTATTGGCTCTATGCGGCTTTTGGTGGCTTTGGTTCCTCTTTGGCAGCTGTTCGTTGGTTCATTCTGCTTTTGGCGGCTTCTTGGCTTGCTCGCACATTTTCACGCTTGAACAGCCACACTGCGGATGCAATTAATGTTAACCCCCCAAGCTGACCGAATGAATTCTTCAGAAGCCAACGTGAAAAATGCTACGAAAGGCTGCGAAAACCACAAAACCATCTGCTGGAGAGGAACTGGGAAAGCAAAGGATGCAAACAGCCCAGCGCACTTGGACGGTTTGTTGTTTCCTTTTGGGCCCCAAACCGGTAACCCTCGAATCTAGAGGTTATCAGCCGGAGGCCCCTAGCTTAAAGCAATGGACGGTTCCCTTGTGCCAGTTGATGGATCCGAGATGCCTGTGGACGGTGTGGGAGCAAGCTCCGACAACGCCACCGGCGATGGTGCGCGCACTCACGCATTTAGCATGAACGCCCAGCATAACCGTGCTCCAATGAATCCCCTTCAGCTATACAATACCGCAATATTTGCTTTTGGGAATGATGCAGCCATTAGGTCAGAAGCCAAAGCACGGCATCAGGCAGCTAGCTGTAATGCACCTGCAAGCGGAAAATCGCGAGGAGCTCCGTGTCGCGCAAAACCAGCATGCGCATTACGCTGAGTGTGCGCAAGCCCAGTCGCATAGGATTCGTGAGCACGAACAGCGAGTGAGTGATGAGCTCAACTTCGAGTTGAATCACGCTGAAGCTAGGATAAGCAATGCACGAAACGGAAATGAGGCGTAAAACAGTAGTCGAGGGCCTTGCCTAGCAATAAATTGCTTTCATACATACACCCCTCCCAACAACTTTTTCCATCTTCCATCTTCTACCCTTATGCGTTTTCATCATTTTTCTACATTCCTTTCTGTCCATCTCATCCGTTGTTTTCTCATCATTTTTCCAAAATTTTCGCCATCCTTTTCTCCTTCCTCCTCGCCTCATTCATTTCACCAACTACTCTTCAAAATGTCATTTCCTCCATCTCCTCACCTCATCCATTTCAAAAAAATAAATTTTGCAAAATATATTGCAAAAAATATGTGTCATCAAAAAAATATTCGAACTGTCTAAAAACGATTTGTCCATTTCCCGGACAAAAATAGAACAGCAACAACATCACTCCCCTCCTTCGTTTCATCACTTTTATCATATATTTTAATAGGCGTGGTCCTCCTTGTATGATTTTATCTTCAATATATAAAACGCTATACTTACTTTATCATTGCAACATATAAGGGTATAAATGTTATTATTATAGTATGATTAAGAATTATGGGTTAAATTAATAGTCAGGAAGTATGTCTTCAAATATGTAGTCTACATATTTATCTATACCATCTTTATCTATATATTTGATATTGTCTTTTCCTATTATTGAATAAATATATTCCCAGAAAAACAAATTAACTAGTAGCCATACTTGATATTTAGTGTTGTAGTAATACCATACATGATATTTAGTTATTCTAAATTCATTCAAGACCTCGTTTATTTTATCTTTACTTAATAAATGCAAATCAATCGCTTCAAACATGTCTCGAAATGTTTTAGCAAATGCTTTATATGGTTTAATTGCGTCTGTTCCTCCAAACCTTTTAATCAAATCGTTATTATTAAAAAACTCATCAATTTCTTTTTCAAATGACTTTCTAGCAATTTTATGGTAAAAACAAACAGGAAATCGTTTTTGATATCTCATAAAGAATTTCAATTGTAATTGAAACTTTGTATATCTCTTATTTTTATATTCTTCAACAAAAAACTTTTCAAGGTCTCTTGTTATACAGCATTGACTACAATATACATCATATTCACTTTTTTTACTACACAGATTAGCAGGTAATAAGTTATACAATGTAAAATTAACATCATTCTTTTTATTATTGCAACATTCGCACTTGTTATAATTAAAAAACATTTCTACTATAATATATATAGTGTTTGTTTCTTTAAATATTTTTTACAAGAAATAAAATTAAATATTGAAATATAATCATAACATATAATATTTTACATGTTATTATTATAGTACGATTATAGTTTCAGTTCAGGATAACTATTTAATTGATACATCTTACCTCTTTCATACATCATTTTAAAAATAATACTAATATTTCTCACTGTATTTTTAACATTAAACTTTTCACTTTCAATATGTGATTTAATGTTTTTTTACATCAAACCCTTCTTTTCTTTGATACTCCAACATCCATAATATGTAGTCAATCATTTCATACTTTTCTTACTGATTTTCATAAATGCTCTAACATAATCATAAGGTTGTATTTTATACACAGTTAAAAATATCAAAATGTCATCTTCAACATTTCTTTCATTAAGCCTTTTAATATCCAAATTACATTCGATTGCTTCTTGGTAATATCTCCAATTTCTACAAAATTTTACATAAATTTTCTTTACCCAAAGAGTAATCAAGAAAATTATTAACTATTCCATTAGGTAAATTCAATTTATATAATTCCATGTTTTTTTTGAAGTGGCAACAGTCGTAGCATTTCTTATTGATATAATTATTGATTTCGGTTTCCACCATTTCTATTATAATATACATAGTTTTTATTTCTTTAAATACTTTTTTACAAGAAATAAAACTAAATATTGAAATATAATTATAACATATAATATTTTACATGTTATTATTATAGTATGATTATAATTTAAGTTCAGGATAGTAACTTAATTGATTGAGCTTTGCCTCTCATTTGGCGGGCATTTTGGGTGTCACCCTCACAGGTAAACCCCTTTTGCCTCACAGGTAAATCCCTTTCACCTCACAGGTAAATCCCTTTTACTTCACAGTTAAATCCCTTTTACCTCACGGGTAAATCCCTTTTACCTCACAGGTAAATCCCCTTTACCAAAGACTAAAACAGCATTGAGGGCGACCATTTGTCGTTGGATGAACCTAGAAGTTTCCAGTTTGAGCACAAACCCAAATCCCTACTCCGTCAAACTCACTAAGATTTCACAAATTATTTCGCTAGGTATTTTATATAGGTCTTCTTGCTAAAAAAAATCTAAAAAGTTCATATTATTAGAATTACTTAGATATTAATTATTCAGATAATACATATACTCCATCATCTTTTTTTGTAATCTTATAAAACTCTCATATTTGTTGCTTTGGTTGCTTGACTTTTCCTGTATTCAACATATCACAATATTTCTTTTGCTTGGTAGGGTAGTCTCCAGTTGGTCTTCCTTTAGAGTTTGCTTGAAATATCTTCTCGATTTTTTCTTTATCTTCATTGCGTTCAACTGGTTTCATTTTGTCATCAATGGATTTAATCATTTTACCAATTAATGTTATCTTCTTCATTAAATCATTAATGGTATAATTCTCATTTTCAGACATTACTATATATTTTTTTGGATAATTATTTATTTAATTATTTAATTATGCGTTTTTATTATACAATTTACCTGAATAATTTAATGTTATATATGTAAATAAAATATTCTAACAATCTTTCGCCAATTTTATGTGTCATTTGTATTAAACCTTCCTCGTCACCTGTAATTTCAAAAAATTTCAATATTTTATCAAATTTATCTGGTTTAGTTATACCTTTCATAAAATATTTATCACTGAATTTAGCATCAAAACAATAAAAATATTCTTCACTCAATTGTTTAGCAAAGTTTTCATCACCATTGAATAGGCCTTTAATTTCTCCATCGTTAAAAGTTATAATTCTATGGTCTTTTCCATTCATAGTTGGCATTATGATTATATAAATAATTTGATATTTATTTATTTATTTAACTATATATATTTATAAAGTGCAATTATGTTAAATCTACTCTTTAAATACTAATTTTTCATCATTTGTTTAATAGTTTCCTGCGTTTCGTTTTCATTATTATCAGATGGTGTTGCTTGCCTACCAAATTTCAAAGTTATATTATGGACATCAGTTTCTAAGTTGATACTGTCTTTAGTTTTATCAATATTCATTTTCTTATCATTTTTACTTATTTTGAAACTTGTTGGAATACATGAACATTTACAATTTCCTTTCTTTTGTATTTCTAACTCATTTTTAAGTTCTAACATCTTTTTGCACATAGGACAAGCAACCTCAATTACTGCTGTTTCTTTAACCATTTCTCCGCTATCTTCATCTGTTGAAGAAACACTTAAACCTGTCCTATTCTTTTTGTTTTTCTTTTTTGGCATTTATTTTAATATTTACATTTTTTTTGATATATTGCATTCCTAGCTTAAGTATTTCTAATGAATAATAACAGCATTTTTTATTTTATTGTCAGTTATTATTACTTGTTCTATATGCTCTACTTCATCTATTATATTAATATAATTTGAATAACTCCTATTCATATAAATAATAAGATAAAATAGTTATTTAATCTTATTATTTTCATGCGTGATAGAATATTCGGAGGGCACAGCACTTGGGGTTTTCTTTACAATGCATCAAACTAATTAGCTTCAATGCTTTATTGATTGAAAAAATGGAAATCCTGTTCCATTTTATGATATTCGCCACCAGCATATCATAAGAAAGATGCTCTATTTAATATTAACTACAAGTTAATGTTTAACTTTAATTTTCGATATATCTTTAATATCAACTATGACAGATGTTCCAATAATAAAACCAATAAACATAACTGAATATGAATTCAAGCAATCCAAATATGAGCACGTGCCAAAATTACCATTTAGAAGTATTATAGTTGCTTCTTCGACAGGCGGTAAGACTGTCCTTATTCAAAATTTAGTATTGAATGTTTATAGAAATTCATTTGCAAGAATATTTATATTTTCACCCAGCGTCCATAACGACCCTACATTTACAGAAGTTAAAAAATACA